GACACGCTTTACAGCAGCCCACAAGGCTTTTTGCATTATTTTACCTCCCAAGTTCATCTCAGGCTGCTATACCAATTATTGTGCCACAGTAACCTTTCTGTTCCTCAGACAGTCAGGCTCATCATATTTGTCCTGAGAATTTAGCTGTGGCTGTTAATGGAATGTTCTTCCTGAAGTTTTTATGTAGGTATGTATTTTTCTCTGATTGATAGGTAGAGGAAAAAGGACAGAAACAGAGGGGGAGTTCTTCCATCTGCTGGCTCATTCCCCAAATCCCTGCAACAGACAGAACTGAGTCAAGCGAAAAAACTCCATTTGGGTGCCCCATACCGAATGAACTGTCACCTTCTGCCTCCTGGGGTGTGCATTAACTGGAGGCTGGAGCAGAAGCAGACAGTCTACAGGATGGGACATAATTTCCCAAGTGGCAGTTTAGCTACTCTACCAAATGTGTGTACCCAAAGTCCTCTCTTTACCACCTGTATAAAGGATATTGCACTGTGTTATCAAAATATTAGGAATACTTCTATATATATATATATACATACATACACAAATTTTAACCTTTAAGTGTGACTTCCAGAAACTCAGACCCTCTCTCATTCTTCTTTACAAATTGTTATCTCTCAGTTGCTGGTACCCAGATGAGGAGTATGGATTAAATGAGTGAACACATGTGTTACAGGAGAAGCGAATTCTGACTTTGTTGATGTAGGTGCCTCTGTACTTGCATGTCCTAGTATGCATGGGTTACATTAATGGAATTGACACTATATCTTCTACTATGGTTCCTTGTCTTGTAGCTAGTGTTTTACCTAGGAAAATGAGGTGGAAAAAATTGTATAAGAAGCAGATATGGACCTGTACTGGAACTGTGAGTTTATTCTCATGCCTCAAGCCTTTGCAGGAGATCATCCAGGCAGCTAAAATGGCACACAAGTGGACTTCAGTTTCAGAGACTGACGAAATATGATTTCTTTTTCCTCAAGGATTGTTAGCTCTGATCAGATAAAGGACAGCATCATGACTAATGAGCATGCTCGAAGAAAATTGAAAGATGTATTTTAAACTTTTACACACCCGCATACAGCATAGCTTCAGATGTTTAATGCAGAATGCATCTCCAAATTAAGGACTTTTCATAATTGAATTTGAGAAGGAATGTAGAATGAGGCTTAGTTTTATCTGGCGGGAGAGCCAGAGTGCTTCCGGACTGTGGTGTATTTAGTGTGCCGTTTGTATAATGCCAGTTAGTGACAGTTTAGTCGTGACTCAGTTTTTGGAGCACATTCTCAGGATGCCCCTTTCTATTTATTTTCCAAGTGGAGGGGCAAGGTCTAGATGGCATTTAAAGGAGTCAGAGGTGCAGTGTGACTGAGAGGCAGTTGAAGAGCTTGATTCCAGATTGTATCTGTCATTTTATGTTAAATTAGACCTCAGTGAGTCATTGACTGCGGAGGTGAGGAAGGGTGTTATAATTAGGAAAATGGCTCAAGCATATGCAGAAGAATTCATGTGCACACACAGTTTCTGGCAAAGCCATCTCTCCAGTTAAACTTTGGAGCTCTAGAATCTCCATGTCAGAGAGTTGTCCTACCAGGACAGACATCAAAGAAGTCTTGGAAACCCCTGATGCGACTTGCTAAATCTATGTGCGTGCAGGTGGGTATAAAGGTAGCACACAGGCATGTTCTATAAGAGAGAGATCTAGAAGTTTCATTATACTCTCTAAGTAGAATAGGGCTGACAAATAGTTTTCTCCAGTATTGGAAGAGAAATGCAATTTAGGAACTTCAAGTAAGATTTCAAGGGCAGAGGTTCCAGAATACACTAGAACAGGGACTGCCAAATAATCCCACCAAAGAAGCACCCTGTGAACATTGTTCTTGGGTGGCCTTGCTGTGGCCATGCTTTTGTAAAGAAGGGGACTACAGTTTTCAGGGATAGGGACTAACTTTTAACTGTGGAAAAGTTAGACCCACCCTATAATCCAGGAACTCATTTGAGGAACCAAGAGTGTGTGGGCACCAGAAGAGAGAGCTACAACTCCCAGTCTCAGAGGTCTTTTAATTTAAAGTATCCACCTTTCATAAACAGAGAAGGAGAGAGAGAGGTGGAAAATCCCACAAAGCCCCACCTCATTCTCTCTACTAACATTCATTAAAAATGAAAATAGCTCTAGTTTATGTCTTGATTATAAGGTACTCTGTGCTTATTATTTTTTAAAAAGGTAATACAGGAAATTTAAGATCAAAGGAAAAAAGTCTACTCATAATCCTACTTATGTGTATTGTAGCATGGGTTCATGTCAGAACAGGTAGGGGTCTCTGTAAAGACCCCATTGAAGAGAAAAATAGATTCTGACACACATGCAAAAGAGGATAGGCATGATCTCCATCCTGAATATTTTTTGTTGCTGAAAATCCTCAGCATGTCTCCCAAGGCAGCTGGAAGGTAGGTGGTGGTATCCTTCTGGGGTGGGAATCAGCTCCCTGACCCTGAGAACTCAATGCACCAATGCAGAGGACACTGTTGAGAGTTGGCAGAGCCAGATTCTATTTCAGGAGGCTGGAATACTAATCCATCTGGGGCTGAGCTGGGCATTCAGCCTCCAAAGACAGCAGTGATGATCGCTTCTGATGATGCCCTTCCCCTGCCCAATGTCAATGGGCTTTCCTGACATCTTCACTGAAGTATGTTGTCCATTGAGTTAGAATGGATGAAATCTCCCATAGGGCTTTCCCAACATTTGCACGCCCCCTTACAGTATGGTCCACAAGTTTCATCAATAGGCAAACTATGTATGCTTTTAAACGATCTGTCTTAGTTTTGTTTAAATAGATGCTCAGTTTTTCTTGCCAAAACTTGTATTCAGATCTGTAATATTTGAGCACAAATGGGATCTTTGTCCTCCATTGGTATTGTTCAGATAACTGTTTCTATGCAAGTACTAGAAGGAACTGAATAAGCTCTTAGAAATTTCCAGAATAATTCCAGAGAAAGAAAGATAGGAAGAAAGTAGTGTTCAGAGTCATTTTAAGGCCTGGCACAATGGCTAAATGGCTAAATCCTCACCTTGCAAGTGCCAGGATCCAAAAGGGGTCTGATTCATGTCCTGGCTGTTCCACTTCCCATCCAGCTCCCTGCTTATGGCCTGGGAAAGCAGTAGAGGAATGCCCAAAGCATTCATTGGAACCCGGCACCCATGTGAGAGACCTGAAAGAAGTTCCTGGCTCCTGGCTTCAGATCAGCTCAGCACTGGCTGTTGTGGAATTTGGGGAGTAAACAACAAATGGAAGATCTTTGTCTCTCCTTTTCATAAATGAATAAATTTTTTTAAAAAGAGTCATTGTAATACCAGGTGAAAATTTTGGATACTGTAAAGAACTTGATGAAGATGGAATGCTTATAGTCAAAGATCTTCTAACATACTTTAAAAATATACAGGATGTGTAAGACAGTGTGGAGATAAATGCCTCTCCTATCTTCTCTCTGTTTCTATACTCCTAAACAGGTCTTTGTTATGGGGCAGGGCAAGATTCCAGGAGTTTTATTTTGAGTTTCGGGAACTGACTGTCACCCAGAGAAAATAAGAATTAAGATTATTTTCTTTCCTACCCAGTATTTTTCCTCCCCATTAAAATGTTGCTCTCTCTTCAGTCATTCTTCAAAGAGCATTTCCCAAAATGGGAAGAGTCCTTTGATAAGCATGTTTTAAAGGAACAGAGACTTTCTGATTCTGTTGAAATTTAAATGAAATTCTTCCCTATGGAATGTACTTGGGCTTTGGATAAGTTGCACAAGTAAGAAGACTGACCCTCCCCCAGAGGTCAACCCATATATAGTAAAGTTGGCTCTTGGTTTTGAACCACAGCTGCTGTCAGCAGTTCAAGAGGTGAAACATCATGCCTAGGAAAGTTATTTGTGGCATTGTTACTTCTATACACATGTACTTGAAGACATTTGCGGGAAAATGGGATTAAAAGGTAATTCCTGGGCCCGGCGTGGTGGTGCAAGTGGTTAAAGGTCCTCACCTTGCACGCCCGGGATCCCATATGGGCGCCGGTTCTAATCCCGGCAGCCCCGCTTCCCTTCCAGCTCCCTGCCTGTGGCCTGGGAAAGCAGTCAAGGACAGCCCAAAGCTTTGGGAACCTGCACCCGTGTGGGAGACCCGGAAGAGGCTCCTGGCTTTGGATCGGCATAGTATTGGCCCGTTGCGCTCACTTGGGGAGTGAATCATCGGACGGAAGATCTTCCTCTCTATCTCTCCTCTCTGTATATCCGCCTTTCCAATGAAAAAATAATAAAAATAAATCTTAAAAAAAAAAGGTAATTCCTTTGAAGTAATGAAGACAATGCATAGGATTTTTTTTTTTTTTTTTGGTCATGTGTACTTTACGAGAACTTTTTGAAGACTTCCAATATCATTAAGTATTAGGGCACACTCGATGCCATGCATATTTTTTTTTCAAGTTCTATCTCTGTTTTGTATACCCTAGAAAGACTAGTGACAAATGCATAGAAAGGAGTTGAATGTTTTATTATTAAGGGATGCAGCACCTACAGTCCCAAGGAGGCTCTTCAGACATGATTGTGTTTTTCTGGGTATTATAGTCTTCGAGTTAAGCCACTCATGGTATTTTGTGTCACATATTTTTGTCCCAAAATGAGAATGTTAGAAACTAATAAATCTTGCAAGAAATGAGCCCAGCATCTGAGCCGAGAATCTGTGATGAAAATTGGATTTGTTTTCCGCTACAACCCAGAGAGCAGTATGGTTTGTGATTATGTCTTTCTCACCGGCCCGCCCCTCTATCTCTCTGCCAATCACTCGGGGATTTATCTGCATTCAACATTAGCTGGAGAAAGGTGAAAGCCAAAATGTTGTTGATGTATTGATGTCTGTGTATGTAGAAGTGCTGAACAAAGACAAGCTGGTAGAAAACACCCACTCATGGAACCCAGTAATAATCTCTCATCCCCTCTCGTTTTGCTTTCAGCAACCACTGGAAAGGAAAGACAGCCAGAGTAGCTCACAGCACAGTGTTGCCAGCCACCGAAGCTTACACACAGCATCCCCAAGCCACAGCACTCAAGTGCTCGCCGAGTACCCACCTGCGGAAGCCTCAGCTCCAGACCAAACCGACAGTTCTGGGCAGAAAAAACCAGATCCTTTTAAAATCTGGGCCCAGTCCAGGAGCATGTATGAAAACCGACGTGAGTAATACCCTGACACCTGTCTTTGCCCAGGCCCCTCCCCAGGGCTCTGGCTGTCTCTTGAAACTTAAGAGAAGATGGAAGAGTTTCTGGGTGTGCCTTGGATGTAAGGATCAGTTGGGATGAAAGGGCTAATGCTTCCCAGAGCCAGCAGAGTATACTAGAAATTTTTGGAGGCTCTATTCCATCTTCAGTGTTCAGTTTTGGTGATGGTAGGTGGGGCAGGGAGTAATTGATGATCAACACATAAATTTCCTGTATAAAAATAAATGTATTTTTTGCCCTGCACTTGCACGTAGCGATAGATAACTGCTGCTGTGTCATTAATTCTTCGCTGAGTGGAGAGTGGGCACACACCAGCTCATGTCTTGAGAAGTGGCCCTGAAATGTGACAGAACCTAAACATGATGGCTTCACATGCCAGGGATAATGAGAAGAAATTAAATACTTTCTTAGCAGTATCTTGGTTTTTCAAAAATAGTTGTAATTTTCTTGGTAACCATTATCAGTCTTCTTCAACATTCCCCTCCAGAACAAAAAAAAAAAAAAAAAAAAAGAGAGAGAGAGAGAGAAAGAATTAACAGTGAGTGGCTGGAGCTTGAATTATTTATGCAGCAGTTAAATCTGTTCCTTTGGTTTACCTTTTTATAAATATGAGCTAGTGGGGGTATACCTCGTAACTTCTTGGCTCTAAGAGACAATGTCCCTTTTGTGTTTAATGGCTTACTGTTTATAGTGAAGTGATTTCTAAAGATTCTTCATCATAAACCGTGTCATTTAGTTGGTTTTCCTAGGATGCTTCAGTTTTAAAGGATACAAGTAGAGGTTTCTCTGATTGATTGTTGCTGATTTTCTTTGCTAACTTTGGTTGGTCGGGGTGAAGCATCTGTGAAGTGTATGCACCATGTTTCCTGGGTTTGCCACAGGATGGGAGAGAATGTGTGAGTCAAGAGGGAGGACTCAGGATGTGTGAAAATGCCAGAGGAAAGAAAGAAAGAAAAAAAGAAAGAGAGAGACAGAAAAAAAGAGAGAAAGAAAGAAAAAAGAAAGAAAGAATCATGATGCCCACCCTTTCTACTCTGAGCTACACCTGGGAATCACCTGTGAGCTGCAGCAACTTCCTAGAGCCATGTCAGAGGGCGGGTCTCCTCTCATCCTCAACTATGCTGCATCTCATTGGCTGGCTGAATTCCAAAGCAGGGAGTGAAGCTAGCATCCCTGTGAAGGAAGGAAAGTTGGCCACACCACATGGAACGGTGGTTCAGGACCTTGAGACAAGCCTGGGTTCTTGCTGGCAATCAGATGTTAGACATTCTTAGGCCCCAGCCATCCTTTACCCCTTGTGGGGAGAATGTTATATTGCCTTCTTACTATAACAGGATGTGTGTAGTAAAAGACAGTTAGGACTAAGTTGGTTTTGTCAAAAGCCAGCAAATGGTGTTTAAAGATTTTTAAAAATGTATTTGAAAGATGAAGAGAACTTCCAACTAGTTATTCATTCATTCCCCAGATGGCCACAACAACCAGGATTGGGCCAAATGGAAACCATTGGTCTCCTATGTGGACGGCAGGGTCCCAAGCACTTGAGTCATCTTCTACTGTTTTTCACAGGCCATTAGGAGGATGCTGGTTCAGAAGTGGAACAGCTAGGGCATGAGCCTGCATCTCTGTGGAATGCTGGTACTGCAGGCATCATCCTTACATGCTATAACACAACGCAGGCCCCCGGAGCCAGCTAATTTGAACTGGGATTTTTTTGCAGTCCTTGGACTAGGAACATACCCCTCAAATGCCTTGGAGGCTAGGCCAATGGAAGTGAATTTATATTTGAAATATCTTTCCTATGCAATAGAAGCTAAGTTAAGAACGTGGAATCTACCCTCACTGTCTCCTCATGCATTCTACCAGTTTCATTGAAGAAAGCTATTGAAGAAATGTTTTCCAAAGGGGAATGTTTTTACTTTCCCTTCTCTTGCAGTTCCTCCAATCAATGCTCCAACTTTAGTGGGTATTGAGCTATTGCTTTATTGACCTGCCTCCTGCTTTTCTAAATATGGCTCACATTTATGATCGAGTTTTCTATGTGTGAAATCACTTTGTAATAAAATAAATCATATTCCCATATGTGGGTACAGACATCATGTATTTACAGGACAATACTATAACTCTGCCAGAGGCATCTCTGGCTTAAATGCTATTGTCACCCTGGTGAAAGCAAAATTTTCTCCAAATTGGGTATTTAATCCAAATAATAATAATAATAATAATAGTCCCAGCACAATGGCTCAGTGACTGAATCGTCACCTTTAACGTACTGGGATCTCATATGGGTGCTGGTTCCTGTCCTGGCTGCTCCACTTCCCATCCAGCTCCCTGCTTGTGGCCTGGGAAAGCAGTAGCGGATAGCGCAAACCATTGGGACCCTGCGCCCACATGGGAGACCAGAAAGAAACTCCTGGCTCTGGATTGGCTCCTGGCTTCAGATCAGCTCAGCTATGGCCATTGCAGCCAGTTGGGAAATGAACCATAGACAGATCTTTCTCTCTGTTTCTCCTTCTCTCTGTAAATCTGACCTGCCTTTCCAATAAAAAATAAAATAAATCCTTAAAAATTTTTCTTCCTAAAATAGTGATTTTGGCTGTAAGCACTGAAGTAACATAAATGATGGCCAGACCAAAATATTTGGAATGGTATCAGTTGTGTTCCTTCACTTTCTTTAGCAATTATAAAACAAGGTGTAGAGGAGAAATGAGAGTCAGTGCCTCTGTGATTGGAAGCTCTGTAATTGAGTGATGGCAGCAACCCAAGTGATGTTAAATTTACAGAATTTCTTCCTCACTGCAAAAGCAGGATCATGTTGGGAAGATTCTTCCCCCCGCAATAATGACTCAATATCTGTCACAGATTTTCTGCTTTTCATAGCAACCATGGAAGAACTTGGACCCATCTCATCTTTGAGTCAGGGTGTTGCTTTATCACACATCAGTTTCTGCCATTTGTCTATATCTTGTCTTTTGACGGGGAAAAAAAATGTATAACACTGATGGATGCCACCCTGGGTTCCCTCCCTTTCAAGTGAGTTGGGCAAAATGTAAGCAGGAATATTGAAGTCAACAACAGCACCTTAGCCCTTTCTGCTCCTTTTTTGTTGGGAATAGTATGTTCTTGCACTTCATTGCACTGTAAAGGGCAGAGTGGAGACTAATAAATCTCTGACCACATTTCTTCCCGTGGTCTAAATATTTTTGCAAAATACCAGAATCTCAATATGATCCTCTACAACAAAACAGGGTCAGAGGGAATCATCCTGAGGTGTAGATGTGTCCAAGAATCCCTACAAAGGATTTCACAGTTTCGTGAAAAACAAAGACATGCATTGAAGACCTTTAAAACCTGCGTTGTCTTTATCTTTGCCCTGACTCATTCACCAATTATGTCCACATTTTAAAAAGGACATTGATGTAATTTTTTAGTCAGTGCTTGGGAAACTCAACTTGTATCCAAGAGTGTTGATGACAAAAGAAATTGCCAAGCTCTTAGCTGAAATTTTGGCTATTGACAGCATAGCTTAGATAGAAAAAAAAAATGAGCAGAGCTGGCATATTCACCACTGTCTTCAGCCTGCCTACTTTGGGGAGCCCAGCTTCCAAGTTTAGAGTTGATGAGTGTACTCGTTTATCACAGGGAGCGTTAAAAGCCTGTATGCGCTTTTGCTGTTTACAGCCATTTTGTAGCAGCTTATTTTTATGTGTTTGTTCAAACCTTGGGTACACTCAGTGAGATGTATCTCTACATATAAGACTGTCCTGGTTGGAACTGCCTGAAATTGACCTAACACTTATTAGCACAAGAATAAATATGACTGGGAACTTTATAATCTTTTAAATAAATGCCATAGTATATCAGTGGCACAAGCATACTGAGATTTTTTTTTTTTCAAACCTTGTGTGATTCATGACATGACCAAGTAAAGGTCATTTCAGAATGTGTATTTTCAGACATAATTAAATGTGAAGCATCTAAGATGGTAATAGGAGTTGGAGGAAGTACTTGGTAATACTGTTATAAATACTAGCTTTCTGACAAGTAGAGCACCACGGAAAAAAGAAAGAAAAAAAAAAAGAGTTAAACCATTATTGTTTATACTGCATAGCAGCCAGGACTTCTGCTGTGAACATTGAAGTACATATTCCTTATTAATCAAAACTGAATTAAAATGAACTAAGAGAGTAACATACATTAAGCTTTGCAAAATTGTGAAATTAATATTCCAGCTATGTCACCTTCGCCTGCATCGGGATTGAGCAAAGGTGAAAGAGAGAGAGAAATCAATTCCACGAATTTTGGAGAATGTCAGAGTAAGGATCTGCTGAAAATTTTTATTTCTCCATCACCATTCATTCTGTTCAGTGTGTCCATTTTTTTGGGGGGGGGGGTTGGGGGGTTTTGGGAAGGACCTGGGAAGAAACTCGCAAAAGGAAGAGTGAAAAACAAAGCACTGTGCAAGAAAGTAGTCTGATGGACACGCTGGTTAACTCAGCGTAAGCCAATGACCAGATGAAAAGTTTTGCATGCTTTTGCTGAGCCTCAAATGTATTGTGTGTTTGTGATAATGGAGACACCGGGAGATTTCTCTGAAAACCTGGTGATTCCATTTGTTTCTAGTTATCAAAGGAAGTCTTTTAACTTCTTGTGTTGAGTTACTACCCAAACACTAACCAATGAAATGATATCCTACACAAGGATGAGCAATGAAGAAAAATACAGGAGATATTTTTTTTTTTTGCTTGAATTAACCTCACTAGAAGAAACGTATTATTGTTATCAGAATAATCTTATTTCTGATAAGATCTGTCTGAAGGGAAGAGGAGAGCAAATAATTTTAGTGATTTAGAAACATCAGTGCCTCCATGAGGATGTATCAAAAATTTTATAATCCCAAATATGTATGACTTTGGACTTATCACGAAAATGGTAGATTTGAGCAAATGGCATTTAGCAGGTGCCAGAGTAAAATCATCTCATCGCTCATCGCTAAAGTACTAAAAGACTTTCTTTGCAACATGTTTGTGTCCCTATGTTTGTGTTTCCTGACTCATGCTTGGTGTCTTGAATATGCATAGTGTCATTGGGCGAGGGCCTTTTCAACAGAAAACTCTTGGAATAAATTCTCCATTTCTCATTAATTCCCCAAAGGGGGTAAGTGCCTGCTTTCCTTTGGGCTCAACTCATAAGCCTAGGTTTTGTGGCTGCGACCTCTCATAGCATGACAGCTTCTACCTAAATAAGCAACAGAAGGCAGAAACTTGCTGCCTTTGGCATCCTTGTGGGATAGGCAGATGTTCTTGCGTTAAAGAATGCTGAGAAGGATGGGTCTGATTGGAAGTCTTTGCAGAGGCTCCTTTGTTACCCTCAGCCAGGGCACTCACCTGCCCAGAACCCAGAGTTGGCAGGAAGGCACCACTGTGAATCTGGGTAATAATCCACCAGCTAAAGTGAACCAGAAATGGAGACACTTGGTTTAATTTATTGTTTCAATGAGGCAAGTACTCTTTACTCAGAAAGAAAATATTGTTATCTGAGTGTGCTCAAGAAAATATTACTCTGAGATGGTGGTTCTGGGAATCCTGTGAGGGCTCTGTGCTGCGTGTTCCATGGCCTTTTGCAGCTTAGCTTCAGCAATTACAGTTTGAAAAAAAATTGGTTCAAAAGCACCTGTTTAAAGCTGTGGCATTAAGATAGCTCAGGCAAAAATATTCAACTCCAGCTTGTCTCACTTCTATTACCTGGGCATTTAGTTTCTTTTGGCGTCTTCATTCATGCTTCATTTTAAGCTGTGGGTGAGTCACTAAAAAGGGATGGCTCTCACAGAGGTGAAATCTGATCCACTGCCGCCTTGTTTGATTGTTGCAAAAGTGAAGAAAGAAAGAAGTAAATGCTCAGGCCTACACAACTCAATATGTGATCAATGAAAGAAATAAAAAAGTAATCCAGATAATATTTGAAAACCTCCTTTAGGTTGCAACTGCATCTAATGTAACTGCAATGCATTTTTATCTGTTCTCTTTAAAGAAAAGCTTGGTCAGTTTATAGTTCATAAAACATCCTATGTATACATTAAAATATTTAAAAGGGTTTAATCAGAAATAACCCTTTTATTACCTTAGTAAAGGAATAGTCTAGGATGTACAACAATTTCTTATGCAGTAAACATTTCCTTCTGGAAATTTCCTCTGTCTGTTTTCAAGAGACAGAGATCTTCCATCTTCTGGTTCAGTCTGCAAATGGCCTCCATGGCAGGGCTAGACCAGGCTGAAGCCAGAAGCCTGGAACTCCATCTCGGTCTCCCCTGAGGATGGCAGGAACCCAAGCAGTTGGGCCACCTTCTGCTGCTTTCCCAGACATATTACCAGGGTCCTAGATCAGGAGTGAAGCACCTGGGACTGTAGCTGGCACTCATGTGGAATGCTGGCATTACAAATGGCCTCTAAATCCACTGTACCATGATGCTGGCACCACTTATATCTTTAAAAAGCAAGATATGGGACCCAGCACCATGGCTCAATCCTTGCCTTGCACATGCCAAGATTCCATATGGGTACCAGTTCAAGTTCCAACTGCTCCACTTCCCATCCAGCTCCCCACTTGTGGTCTGGGAAAGCAGTCTGGATGGCCCAAGGTCATGGGACCCACATGGGAGACTCAGAAGAAAACTCCCAGCTTCTGGCTTCAGATTGACTCAGCTCTGGCCGTTGCAGCCAGTTAGGGAATGAATCAGCAGGTGGAAGATATTTCTTTCTTTATCTCTTCTCTGTAGATCTGCCTTTCCAATAAAAATGAATTTTTTAAAGCAAAATATGTTAAGTCTCAAGTCCTGGACCGTTAGTGAGTATGAAAAATAAAATAAAGTTACTATATAATAAGTCAGTACTTGCAGTTTCTAAATAACAGAATAAAAAATGTCATTTGTCAGTGAGTACTTTTTGTTATCAGTATTGGCCATGGATGTGCATGGCTAGCCTTCTTTTTTACTAATCATATTGAATTCATTGTAAACTTAGTAGCTGAGAATTTTAGAGTGTTTTAGAGGAAATTTTTTTTTTACAAACAGTTTAATAAATGGCTTTATTAGTATTGCTGGCCTTAATTATTTTAAGAAAATTCAATTTAACCCAAGCTGTTTGCTTCCATCCTCTGGTTGCTAAGACATCAGGTGACTTGGAGCCTGTTGATTCTTCAGAGGACCCAACTCAGCATGAGTTTTTATTTTTGGATGTGGACACCCACTTTGTGGTGCCGGACACATAATGATTTAATTTACTTAATTCCCCTTCCGACAGTCCTGAGGAAGGTAGTTCCTGCTGACTTTAGGCTTAGTTCTAGATAATTGCATGAGCAGGATGAGGAATTGTCCAACAGGGTATCCAAACATTGAAGCATTCAGGACTCCCTCCTGGTTTTATTTTACCTGTTGTCTTCCCACATTTCAGCTGTCTAAGTTATTTTCCCTCTGTACCTGTGACAGGAAGCCCTTCCTCTGCCCGAGCCCCATCCATCTTGTTGTGTAATTGTGTCTGTGCTAGGGATGTGTTTCCTTCTGTCTGTAGCATGATCTCTCTTCCCTCTCCCCACTCTACAGTTCCAGATTACCAGGAACAGGACATCTTCCTCTGGAGAAAAGAAACCGGATTTGGATTTCGGATTCTGGGTGGAAATGAACCCGGGGAACCTGTGAGTCTTTCGTCTGCTTCTCTCTCCAGGACTGTTTTCTGTGACTTCGCAGCCAACTGGCAGCAGTGACAGATGATGAAGACGTGGCTCCAGCTAGATGCAACGCTGAGTCTGTCTTTCATCTTGAGCGGTGTGGGTTTTTGCACTGATCTGTGTGGCATTCTTTCATTCTTGAGGAGGAAGGAAATCGATTCTTTTTTTAAAAGTGTGTATTAATATTTGTGAGAAGTGCAAAGACAGGGTTTGGAGACTGCCAATAAGGGAAAAGGAAAACACAGAGGAAAATAGCAGCAGGTGCCACTCATAAAACAATGGCCTGATCCCTGTGGCCCATTCTGTTCCATCCAGCAGGTAGTAGCCTCCGAGTGTGGAGTAGCTACTGCACAGGATGCTCCATAAGACATTGTGAAAAACTGGGGAAAGCCAGGCCTGTGATGTTACAAAAGGCAAAAGCCCCCCCCAAGCAAAGGTTGGGGGACCTTTCAACCTCCCTGGACTCAGTTCTCTCAGCATTAAACTAAATGTACTCCAAGACCACCATGAGTCTTTTTTGAAAAAGATCAAATTTGGTTCTCTCGTGATAGCAGCAGCTAGTACTGCTTGGGAACTTACTATATACTAGGAACTGTATTAACGGCCTTCACTACACACATGGATTCTCTTCCCTTTTCCATGATTATTCACCACGTTTATCCAAACCAGAAGATGAAGATCACATAACTAGTAAATGGAGAAGCATCTATTTCCATAGTCCATGTGTGTAGTCACTGCTACAGGAAAGTTCTTTCTAAACTGTCAAGACTGTAAGAAAATCACCTGTAGCAGAAGCAGCATTTACTAAAGAGGCAAAGCAGCCACGACGGCTGTAGCCCAGGTTTAGTAACTGTCAGTTAGAACAATAAGACACAAAATATAAAATCTATGCTGCTCTTGGATGCCGAAAGCCTACAGAAATAAGATGTCAACTTAGAATTTGTTTCATTCATTGGGTAGTACTTAGGAGGACACTTTAAAAAGCTTCTGGAAAATGGGATTGAAACATAAGCTTAATTTTGGTGTGGGAAAATTAAAATCTATTCCCAAGGTTTTTTTATGATCAATATATTTTTCCTAGATCCAGTGCTCAACAAAAGTAATATTGATATTATTTGCAGCAGAAATTTATGAAAGAGTTGCTAGACAGATAAGAATGTTTTACAAATGAACAGTGTTAAGTGATTTATTTTGGCAGAGGGGAATGAGAAAGAGTGCTTCCTAAGGAGGCCACAGGCACCCATCCAAAAACAATTACTTTTGCCACTGTAACTTGAATATAGTGGGTGCCCCATATGTGTTTTTTTGCATGTATGCCAACATGAGTGCATAAATTGAATTGTTTGGGGGAATGTGAAGATCATCAATACAAGAGTAACCAAGAGGGCAATGCTTCATCCATCATCTGATTACTCCACAGATTTATATTGGGCACATTGTACCACTGGGAGCTGCTGATACTGACGGCCGCCTGAGGTCTGGAGATGAGTTGATCTGTGTGGATGGAACACCAGTCATTGGAAAATCACACCAGCTTGTGGTCCAGCTTATGCAACAAGCTGCCAAGCAAGGCCACGTCAATCTCACAGTGAGGCGCAAAGTGGTGTTTGCTGGTATGTTTTTTGTTCAACCCTTCCAGTAGCACAATGTTGGTTTTGAGTCTATGACCTCAAGTGTCCATCATGGCAAATGTCTGCTAATGTGATTGAGCTCAGAATGTGCAGCTCATCAGCTGCTCTCAAACACAGTGAAACAATTATTATTCTAAAGTATTTTCCATGTGCCATCTGCATCTGTTCAGCAAAGGTTTCTAGCAAAAGGCTGGTGGAATATATGTCACCTAGTTCCCACTCTTTGCCAATAGAGCATAGGCACCCTCTTTCTTTGATGACTATTCAATGAAAGATATCATGATGAATGCCAGACAAGTTCTAGTTTGCAACTAAGAGAATAAAATGTAAGTTTGTACTGTAAAATAACATGATCAAAAGTTAGCAATGCCGTTGTTTGCCCTGTTTTTTAAAGTAACATTTTTCTCCCTGTAAAGGAAGATTGTGGTCATGGAAGGCAGTACGTATCAGCCTGTCCCTTGAGGTCATCTGTGACCTCACCATTGTACTGTGTGCAGCCAATAGCAATTGGATATGATTTGTTTGTGTGACAAGTTGAAAATAATTTTACTTCCTCAACTCAAAATAACAAGGTAGTCTGAGTTTTGGAGTAATTTTGGATTTATTTTTAAAGTCTTAGTTACTTTGGGTTTTCAACTCTGTAGAAGGCATGTTAAATATTGAAAGATGTGACATGAAATCAGCTACTCACCGAGAGACAAGTACAGTATAATTCCACTTCTTTGAGGCATCTGTAGTAGTCAATTCATAGAGAATGGACCTGGAGGTGGATGCTGATAAAGGTTAGGCAATTACATGAATGTAGTTACACCACCGAATGGGGCTCTTAAGGTCGGCTGAAATGGTTTTACACAATTAAAAACTTATTGATGGTTTCATACAATTAAAAAAGCTGGGACAGATGTTTGGAGCATAAGACATTGCTTGAAACAATCACATCCCGTAACAACTCCCTGGTTTCAGTCTAAGCTCTACTTGACATTCCAGCTTCCTTCTAATACACATTTTGGGAGGCTGCAGGTGATAGTTAAAATGCTTTGGTGCCTGCCACCCTTGTATGGGACCCAGATTGAGTTCTGTGCTCCTGGCATCAGCTGGGCTCACTCCACACACTGTAGGCATCTGTGGCATGAACTAACAGCTGGAAGATCTCTCCCTGTTTGTCTGCCTTTTAAATAAAACTAAGTACATGCATAAAAATGTAAAAGAAGTGATCATTAAATTTTAACAGATCTATGAAAGCAGAAGCTTTGGGGAATAGTGATAACTTTACCCCAAACCTAGACACAACACATATTTTTATTTTGGCGCAGTTGGTCCCATCTAATGTCTTGGCTCTTTAGCTTGATTTATCCTGGCACCTGAGAAAGCAATGTGTTCAAGACAGAGACTGCATTTGGAAGTAGGCTGAGATAGCCTGTTCTACATGCAAGAGTAGATGTTGACATCTGGAAGCTAGGGGGAAAAGCTGTGTCTATTCCCATGGGTATTGTCACAGATCCCACACAGGGTGTCCCTATAGACTGGGACAGCTTGTAGATTCTGACTTGATGGGGAAAAAAAAAAAAGAAGCTGGGTAGCAAGGAGACTGGAGGTGCTGGCAACAGGAAGGTACAGGTGTGGCTGCACCCCAGAAGACCATATGGTGGTTGGCACTGGTGTGGCCCATGCCTACTGTTGGTGTGCATTCCTTTGTGCCATGTGCAAAAAATTTCAGAGCGCTGATATTGCTGCAGACAGGAGTCTAGGTGTGGATGTTAATAACACAGGTTGCTGTCAATGACAACACGATTTGGGAGTCATTTGAGCGTTTCCTTGTGATCCCTGGGTACCAAGGGATCAGTGTATGTCAACAGCGCCTGCCGACAGTGCTTTGCACCCCAGTTCTGTGAAGACACCTGCCTCCTTGTTCTGTTGCGGAAGCCAGGTGGTTGAGATGTGTATCTCTCTGTGACAGTCCCCAAAGCAGAAAACGAGATGCCCTCGCCAGCATCGTCTCATCACAGTAGTAACCAGCCAGCCTCACTGACAGAAGAGAAGCGCACCCCACAGGGCAGCCAGAACTCTCTCAACACCGTGAGCTCTGGCAGTGGCAGCACCAGTGGTATTGGCAGCGGCGGGGGCGGGGGCAGCGGCGTGGTGAGCACCGTGGTGCAGCCCTATGACGTGGAGATCAGGCGTGGTGAGAACGAGGGCTTTGGCTTCGTCATCGTGTCCTCGGTGAGCCGGCCGGAAGCAGGCACGACCTTCGGTGAGTGCTCCTGATGATTTCCCCCAGGGTTTCTTACCACGCCTGGGTTTGTTCTCTCTTTCTCAAGGCAAAGAAGGCCAAAATCTCATTAGTACAGATGCTTTACTACATTTCACTTTGAGCCATTAATGTCTTAATTGGGAATGGAATTTGTTTGGTAGCTTTTTACCCTCTGAGGATTGAACATTTGTTTTTAACCATTTCAGCTACCTTCCTGAAAAGTTGCAACCCACAGCCCCAAGCATTCATGAGATTTGCATAAAATTTGCATAGCCAGCACTTGTAGGTGAAGACTAGAGGTTTCCAGGGAAGAGGACTTTTGAAAGGGCCTCCGTAGGAAGAGCAGTGGCCTTAGAAAATACCAATGCTTGTAAAAATGTCTAGGGAAAAAATAGAAGTGGAAGGAGGAAAACTACTGCATAAAGTGTTCTGCTATCTGATTTTTAATGGTATTTTTACTTTTACTTGATTAAGAATCTGGTTAAAATCTGAACAGAGTGGCTTAATTTTCTCATCTCATCTGGATGTTGGGGACTTCAGCCACGTTTGGCAAAGTGTTACCTGGTACAAAGGTTCAAGCTTTGCTGGTTGCATGAGGAAAGACACATAAGAACCTAGAAAATTCCAGCAGCTGGTCACCTATGAATATATTCTTCATTAGCATGGGTTATGGATGTATGCTCCAGCAATGATCTACCTTTCCAATTAGGTAGAAAGTCGTTTGCCATCTCCCAAACTCATTCATTCATTAGTATGAAATCTGATGGGAGAAGGAGAAGGGCATATAAGCTTTGACCTTGGCCACACTTCTGTCCCCATGTGAATTCTGATGATAGTTAGCCTAAATCACTTATCCCTTTAGAATTCTGACCCCATCAGACTCACTTCATGTCTATTTTGAAGCAAGGTACATGGCTTCCCGTGAAAGCTCTCTTGTCCTTAAGTTTTATTTTGGTGAGGGACAATGACTGAGCCAGGTTTATGCATGTGTGGCTGCGATAACAGATACCCCTTACTAACAGTGCTTCTGTGAGCTCCGTTAATAAAGCCATCACAGCATGTCGTGGATGGGGAGCTGATATCCAGGGCAACAAGGGGTTTTGTGGGTTTGTTTTGTTTTGATGAATTTTTTGGATTTTTTTTAAAATGAAGTTTGGAGAGTCTTCTGCTTACTTTAAAAGCAGGAAAGGCAAGCAAGGGAGAAGAGATCACCAGTTTACCTCTTCAGATCTAGCATTTGATTGATCCCCTGAGCCCTGTGATGTTCCCAGTTACTTCAGAGTTCTCAGCTTTACCTTCTAAAAAGGAATGCCAACTGTGTCAAGTGTCAAGCTGTGTGTTATGTAACGAATGTGGAATGTTTTCACTCACAATTTGCTCTTTGATTATTTTCCTTTGGCTCTTAAAACAAATAAATTAAACTTTCCCTAATACTTGCATGAAACTTCTGAGCTTTGCAGAGCTTGCCTTGTACCTACTGTTTGCTACCATTGCTATGCCAGCTGTGCTTGGAGATGAGCTAAACTGAATCAAGATCTTGAACTTGAGTATGGAAGCTTTCCACTGCATCTACCTGTTGGATTCCAATAGATACTTGCTTTCTTTTTAAAATGCTTTAATCTGGGCATTGTGTCCAGTGACACAAAATCCAGCCAGTTTGCTGAAATTAGAAAGCATTCGATTGTATTTTCTTATGCCTCTTCCCCTCAAGGACCAGGCTGCACCAGAAGAACCCTCTTAACTATATTCCATGTCTCCCATTGCTAATTTTCTTACCCTTTCCAAAAGGTCGCTCAGCTGCCTAACTGCTTTCATGTTTCCTAGAATGCCAAGTCCCTAAAATAGGTGAAACCGAATGAACATTTTTGAAGCTTGATATGTGATCAGCTAGACACCAGGACTCAAAGCCGATTGCCCACCTCTCTCTAGTTTAACAATGACCTGGAGTGCCTTAAAGCACATACACAAAATGCCTTTCCTCTTTAAGGCCCCTTTCCTGTTTTTTTCTGTTGTGGGTAACTGATGATGAGAAGGGGAATGATGGAAAGGAAAGGGTTGGGGAATGAATCGAACCTCGCTTTGGATCACTGCTCAGTTTTCATCTTCCCTTGAGGTTATCTTTGCGAGGCAGGAGCAAGATGTGAAAGGTGATGAGCCAGGCGGGACCTAGCATGGAAGCAGCTAAGATGGGCTTATTGATCAAAGCACCTGATAGGAAGAATAAGGGTCAAGGTTAGGTGTTTTCTTGGCTCATCTGTTGTAGTAATGATGCACTTTTGCTAGAGCTTTCATCCTTTGGAGGGAAGGCAGAAAGTGGCTGTGTTTGTTCATTAGATGTTTACAGATTGAATTTGTGTGTGTATTAACTGACTCTCATGTGTCACAGCACACCCGGTGATTATTTTTCTAAAGGAAAAAAGAACAAAACATTGGCAGAAGCTTGCACAATGGCTGGCAAAAATGAAGTGTTGTGAACACACAGAATGAGTAAAGCAGTCGGCCTCCCTCTGGGTCTCACATTGGCAGTCCCCAAATAAGTTGGCACTGAGTTATTTTGGGGCTCTTGAAAGAACTTCCAAAGTTGCCAGCTTTTCCCAAATTCTGGAATTAAGGAGAGAAGCAGGGATTTTCCATTTGTGTTGAATCAGAAGAAGACTCCAGCCACTATGTCTAGCTTTGGGGACACTGCCCCTTAACACAGGAGATTGCCAATGTTTTGAGCATCAGCGCAGAGCTCTCCTTTGAATAACATTTGCTTAATGCTTTAATTAATTAACACTTAACCTTCTCTTTCCCTTTTCAACCCTTTTTCTCCTCCCTTCACTATATTCCCACGTAACTTTAAAAACAATAAAACTCAATATCAAAGCAGGCAATGCATGTGTGGCTATGCCTCACAAAATAGGTCGGATTATTGAGGGGAGCCCCGCTGACCGCTGTGGCAAGCTGAAAGTAGGAGACCGGATCTTGGCAGTAAATGGATGTTCCATCACCAACAAATCCCATTCAGACATTGTCAACTTAATCAAGGAAGCGGGAAACACAGTTGCCCTCCGCATCATTCCCGGGGATGGTAAAGTATACAAAAGCGTACCTATTATGTCTACTCCCTCCCCCTCTTCTCTCCCTTTCTCTGTAAGTGTCTCTCTACGTCTCTCTCTCATAGTATTAATGGAATTGAATAGCATTGACTTAGAGGCAGCTCTACCCATCCCTAACTAAACAAACATGAGCTATTGTTACTAAACTGTATCTCACCTTCCTATTTAATTAATCCTACAGTCCCATGGCCCTTACATACTGCAGATATCAAAGCTGCAGAAATTTTTTAGCTTTCTCCAATTTCCTTTGCTTCTGATGTTCAGTAGTATGTGTTTTTTTTTTTTTAGACAATAAGCCAAAATTGAACTATAAATATAATAGCACAAGACCTTGTTTGTAGTAAGGCAGGGTCAATATTCAATATTATGCTTTTTTTTCTGAATGAATGAATGAATAAATGTGTAGTGGTTTCTATTTAATAGGAGAATTGTAATATTTGTGCCTACTTGATCTGTTCTGCATTTATAGAGAAGAAAGCGTTAGATTTATGTATTATTGAGAGATTTATCTGTATGTTAAACTAGTTGCGTTCTTCCTTATTTGCTTGGTCAGTTAAATTCAGACCTTTGTTCTGTTGCATTCATGACAACTCTGCACCGCAGGTAACATTTGGCATCATCCGCAGGAGGTGCCAGTAGCATCCAGTGGGTGGAGAGCTGGACTACTTCTAAATGTCCCACAGGATATGGACCAGTATCTTCACATTTTTAAAAAATCTATACAGCACAAAAAAGCAGTATTCATACTCTTATTCATATTTAATAAAAATGAAGTTGTGAGTATTGATTACTTAGAGAATTAAGCCTTCCTATTGACCTTCATTCTAAGCTGATTTTGCCCTTGGGAGGAAAAGGAGTATTTGTCCCAAAGTGTTTCCTTTTTTTTTTTTTCCTGCATTCTTGCTATAGGTATTGTAAAGTAAAATATATATTCCAAAAGTGTGCATTTCTCAAGAGGAAGATGTGGTTTGTACAGATAATGTGGTAAAAATCCTACACTGGGGTCCTATAAAATAAGATCAGTGAAAACTATTCAGCAAAGAGTACTTTTGTATAGTAATTGAAAGTAAATTAGTCTGATAGTTCAAAATCCAAGTGATCTAGTAAGGATTTTCCAAGAAAAGTACATACAAAATGAATTTTGAAGGTTGTTGATTCTAAGAAGAAAAAACATTCCATTTACCAAAAATATCTCTAATTGCAGAGGGCAAAAAATAGATTCTAGTATAATGGTCTACTTTTCCCTTCTCCAACAAATTAATGGATAGGGATTTATTGTCTGTTCTGGAGCCTGATCTACCAGTTCATCTGTTTGGAAAGCTCGTATGCTTTACAGAGGTGATCACAAGATAAGAGAACATTGGTTCCTCACAGAACAAATGAACCAAGTCAGAAAAATGAAGTAAGAAGTAGTTTGGAAAGCCAGATTGTACATGCTTTAGAAGGAGCTGGAAATTGCCGTCTTAGAAACTGGAATTGAAGCAGAGGCTTCCAGTCGCTGGAGTTCTGCTGGAGGGTTGTATAAACATAGGGAAGACATAGAGAATGATCATTACAGTTGGATGCAGGGAAAATCTTGCTGGATCCACTTCCTTTCTGAATGGTGGTGGATATGTTTGCTTGTAGGATAAAAGGGAAGTGAGCTTCATGTGAGGGAATTCCTGTTTCATTCAGGCAATTCATTCTGATGTCTTCATCAAGTCACCCAAAGGTGATTCGTTTCTTAATCCCTACAAGGAGGCTAAAGTTCTTAATTGAGAGTGATTTTTATTAGAAATCCACTGTGATAGATACCCTGTACTTATAAACTCTAAGAAGTATTTCAGAAGGTGGTTGCTTGCATGAACAGTGCTTGGAGATTTTTCCTCCTGAAAATTTTCCTTCCTTTTTTGAAAAGGAAGGGTGAAAGTTTTTTTGTTTATTTGTTTACTTGAAAGAGTTAAAGAGAGGGAATGATAGAGATCTTTCATCTGCTCATTCACTACCCAGTTGGCCTCAGTAGCCAGTACTGAGCTAACCCAAAGCCAGAACCAAAGCTTCTTCTTCCAGGTTTCCCACATGGGTAGCAGGGACCCAAGCATTTGGACCATCTTCTCCCACTTTGCCTAGGCAATCATCAGAGAGCTGGATAGGAAGTGGAGCAGCTGGGGTATGAACCAGTGTCTATATGGGATGCTGGCGTAGCGGGCAGTGCATTTACTTACTCCACCACAGTTTCAGCCCCCTGAATTCCCATCTTTATCTGATCCATGATGCTTAACAGTTTTTTTTTTCCTTGTCATCAGTAGCCTTCTTTTTTCTTTACTTAGGCCAGTCTTTCATTTCCTCGCTCTTCTTCCCCCATTTCTCGTTTCCTGTTCAGCAAAAGCTCTAAGGCATGACTCCCCTTTCCTTGGTAGTATTGTGCGGCTAGGGGACCTGTCTCCTGCAGACACTGGATAGGCCAATCTGAGGGATGTCCTTATCTCTCTATTTTTATTGACTTTTGGGGCCAAGATGGGAGGCGGGACATGGCCAGAATTTTTTCTCCCACAAGATAAGGATAAGGGATAATAACTAGATAATGCAGTGCACGAAAGGCCAGAGACAAGCCGAACAGCTTCTAAAATCAAAATTTACCATATCAAATCCCTTTCAACTTTGAATAGCAATACCCTGTATGTGCCGGGTGTGTGTGGAGGTTGGAGGGACTTAAATTGGAGCAGCACCAGAGTGAGCCAGGCTAACATGGAACCAGTGAGACTGAATCAAGTTCAATACGATTAAAACATTTATGAGCTTAAAAATGTATTATTTAAATTACAGTCTTAAATTCATACATTCTGGTTCAAAGTGCTTATATAGGAGGAGAAACTTGGCAACAATTGCTGTTTCCTTGACAAAGGCTGAGAATAGTAAGATCTCTCCCAAAACTCTTCAAATATTTATAGGATTCAAATATCCCCACAGATATTTACTACATATGTGTTTATGCATAAAATATTTACGAAAGGAGTGATTGTATCCCTTGATTTGCTCAGCCTTTCAACATTGATTTTGTAAAGAGGGGGCTGAGAATATAGAAGGAGAACCAAGTTGGAACTGCCATCAGTTGGCTGGGAAACAAACTAAAGTCTGAGATACCTGCTCCTGTGGCAAGAGTTAAGTGCCCTGATTTAGAACAAGCAGTGACAGCATCTTGAGAACCAGGGGTGGCTTTTCTCAACACGTGACTACCATGGAACATGTAGGAACAGCCGTCACCTTCCTCAAGCCAAGTTAACATGAGCGTAGACACTGTTTCTTAAAGGATGAAGGGTGTTTTCTGGAATTTTTCATAAAATCTCCAATCTGCCTAGAAGTTATACAAGTCAAATACTTTGACACTCTTCATAATAAAGGCTGCTGCTGTAGGGAAGGCAGGTACGCTCTCTTGTTTGAGGCCCTTTTCTGTTTTATCTGTGATATGAGACAAAGTTTGCTTTGAGAGAGAACTATAAATTTTTTATAGCGGTTGTATTTTTTAAAAATTAAAGAGCATGGAAAAGTAGGATCTTGGTTTCATTCCAAATGAAGACTTAAAAATTCATTAAAATCTTTCCAATTATCTGGCTATTTTAAAGGCATCTCTGACATTTAGGGTATACAAAAAATCATTTTGGTGCTCTGAGTAAAGGCCATTAAATCTAGCAAAGGGGGCTATTTTGTATATTAAGTAATCCTTGATACTGCTTAGTAAGTTGGGGGTATTTATCCATTGGAAAACAAGTGTCGCTTATCTGAATGTATCAGTTAAGTGTTACCTCCTTGATGCCAACACAATTTCCATGTAAACAGAATAAAAGTTAGCTGACAGGCAGGCTCTAGAACCGTGAGCAGTTTCTTGCACCAACCATTGTCCTCTTGGATAATTTTTGCAACAGTGTGCTTTGATGTTTTGTTGTCCCCCAAGTACTGTAGAGGAGGCACCCGGAGTTCAGGTCACTGTGCTGAAGTTGCAGGCAGTAAGTAGTGCATTGCAAGCACCCAGGGCACAGAGTCGGACTCCAGAACCTGATCTAAGAACTATTGTGCCCCACCATGTCCCAGTAATCAGCTTCCAGATGCACTGCCTCCCCCACTGAGGAGGGTCACAGGGCATATGGGCACAGTTAAGGCAGAGCAAAACACACACACACAGAGAAACATCTGTTCTGTTTTTCTCATTGGAGTGCCATCTGTGGCTACACTCAAGAGGGTTTGCAGATTCTATACCTCCAAATTGTGGAGATTAATGAGGTTGCTTATGATGGTTATTATTAGAAAAGAAAGTCCGTTGACATAGAATGTAATCATGTGCATTGCATTAAGGAGGTTTCATGATTTATACAACCAACATTTATAAACTGTGGTTCCAACAAATACAGGTTTATAAATTGATTGTTCATGAGTGATAGTGGATGAGATCTGTCAGGAGTTTCGTTTTTTCATTTGGGTTCTCATTAAGCATAATGGGGAGGAAGGTGAATTGTGTGTGTGTATGTTTAACAAGATAGTAGCACACTTCCTGAGCTTAATATTTGCACAAGGAAATCCAGCAGACTCAGTAAATGCTGCGATAAATTGCAGGAAACATTATCAGAGCCCTATCAGCCTGAGGAATTCTGGAAAGTCATTTTAGGATGGCACAGTGCAGTGTTTTGATGGGACTGCCATTTTTCAGTTGTAGGGGAGGAGCGAGACACACCTAGCTGGGCTATAATTTTAGCACAGCAACGTTCTCTTTATTTCACTTTGAGTGAAGTCTGGGATCACGAGAGTATTCACGGCCCATGTCAGAGTAGATCTTAAGGTGGTTTATGTTTTAGACTCCTGATGGTTTAGGCATCAGCTTCCGGTCATTTACAGTGGGGTTAGGGAAGTCAGACGGGTTGTTCAGGTGCAGGACTTCCACCTGCCTACCAGTTAGTCCAGGTCTTCCTCAGGGTTTTCATTGTTTTATGTTCTTACTCTCCTGGCAGAGTCCTCGAATGCCACCTTGCTGACCAATGCGGAGAAAATAGCTACCATCACCACTACACACACCCCTGCCCAGCAAGGGGCCCAGGAGACCAGGTCAGGCATGGCTTTGGGTTCTTTCTGGGTTTAAGGGAAGATGTCATTCCCAGCGTGACTGTATAGCCCTTTGATTTTACTCTCAGTTTTTCCCATCCATTTTTCTCTCCCCAGCAGGAATACCACCAAACCAAAGCAGGACTCTCAGTTTGAGTTCAAAGCACCCCAGGCTACACAGGTGAGAGCTGTTTGCTTTTCTGTCTCTCCACATAGTTTTGCACATTTGCCTTCCAACTTCCCAAAGCTGTTTCTACAAGTTGTTTTTAATGGCATCCTTGCAATAAATATCTTTTGGTGAGGTGAATTAGCAAATACATGCTCACCCTGGGTTGTCTAGGAAATGGTGTTTATTTTACTACCTTTGAAAAAAATACTCCTAAGTGTCTTTTTCCAAGGGGGGAAAATACACAATGAAAAGTCATTCCAAGGATTGAAAGAACAAAGCAGCGGATACTTACTCGTGATGTCCATAAATGTATTTTTGCCAAGAAAATATCTTTCTGATAAAGAGTTTCTTGGGCTTATGAATTTCAGGAGAAATCCACAGAGCTAGGGTGCTAAGCTAAAAGCACCTTAGGGTGACCCAAAGTTCAACAGATCCCTGTTAACTATCCTGGGAGCTTTTAGTATCCATTCACTCTTCTCAACCAATGTGGGAACCCTTCCTTTTCCTTTGCACTGGTAGTTGTATCCAGATAGTGAGGACTGCCAGCATTGATCTGACATGGCTCAGGGACACTCAACTCCAGAACAAATGAGACTTTATCATGGAATGAAGAGTCTTCCTGTCTTGAAGGCAAATGGCACCCCCAATGTTTGCATCTTAAAATGCATATTGCACAATACGTGCATCTTTATAGGAATGCTCCTGTCTTCAACTTCTTGATCTCCACCTGCAACATGAATGAAGGTTAATAGGCAAATAGAAGCCCCGGAATGGGAATAGAGGTTGCACCTTTTTGCCAAGTCAATGTAATAGGAGAAATGTATGTAGAGGCAAACTCTCCCAGAATGACTCTTTCATTCCTTTAAATAGGAGCAAGATTTTTACACTGTGGAACTGGAAAGAGGAGCCAAAGGATTTGGCTTTAGTCTTCGAGGGGGCCGGGAGTATAATATGGACCTGTATGTTCTGCGCTTGGCAGAGGACGGTCCGGCTGAAAGGTGTGGCAAGATGAGGGTAAGTAGGGGCTGGGCTCAGAGTACATGTCAACACACATCTCCAGGGACCCCTGGATGCACGGCCATAAGGTTCATATTCATGGGAGCTAACATTTACTGTAGCTTTTAAGACTAACTGCCCCTTTTCCCTGTCTTTCTCTCTAAAACATAATTAGTCACAACTACTAACGTTCAGTGACTCCTTCCAACTCTGGGATTAAGACTACATATAACATCTTTTTTTTTAATAAATATTTATTTTTATTGGAAAGATATACAGAGAGGAGGAGAGACAGAAAGGAAGATCTTCCGTCTGTTGGTTCACTCCCCAAGTGACTGCAATGGCCAGAGCTGAACCAATCCGAAACCAGGAGCTCTTTCGGGTCTCCCATGCGGGTGCAGAGTCCCAAAGCTTTGGGCCATCCTTGTCTGCTTTCCCAGGCCACAAGCAGGGAACTGGATGGGAAGCGGGCTGCCAGGATTAGAACCAGTGTCCATATGGGATCCCGGCACTTGTAAGGGGAGGACTTTAACCACTAGGCTATTGCGCCGGGCCCTACATATAACATGTTAAAGTAGGTATTTCTGGATCGCATTTCCATAGTTCTCTCAGGAGACAGATGTTTCACAGAAATTCCTGAGTACCCCAGGATGCTCCCAGAACAGAAAAACCATGTGGCCCAGAAAATTCTGGGCCAGGAATTCCATTTATTCTCCAGCCGCTCACTCAAGCCTGAGAGAAAAGGAGTCAGCTCTTTGCTCAATGCAGGGCCAGCAACTCCACGGTATTAATATTCAGAGTTACCCCAGAGTCATCAAAGCTGCAAGTTATAATTGCACAAGTGCCAAAACTTACTGTGCCCTGCCTGTCTCAGACCTGTTCCTGTGGGTGGGTGCTGTTGCATAGATGTGAGTATTGCCACACCCTGCTGAAGGTGCACCTGCAGCCTCCTGGAAGTCAAAGGACTTGCACCAGCTTCAGACCCCACAGCCAGTGCTCCGCCTCTGTTTTCTGATGTAAGGTTTTCGCACAGAGACCTGGCATCCCCTTATTAGTCCTCTATCTCCAGTGCCCAGAATAGTCATCGACACATATATATGCTTCAGGAAGTGATGCAGCCAAGACTGTGGTCTCATCTTAATGTCATCTTGGGAAGTCAGTGCTTCTAGGGTTGATCATAGGGTTTTTCTCAGGATCCTCTGCCCTCTGGGCTGTTGGCTGGAGCAGCCCCTTTGTTTTTCTATGGCACTCCATAGAGTAACTCGCAGCGTCTATCAAAACAAGTGAGACAGGATCCAAGGTTATTTGAACTGACATCCTGTTTGCCATATTCCAGTTATAAAAGCAAGTCATTAGATATAGTTCACATTCAAAGGAAGGGGGTGGCTCAAGAGTATAAGTAAGAGGAGGCCGTGATCAGTGGGAGCTGTGCAGCAGGAGCTGGCCGCTGCCTCCTTCCCCAAGGGCTAAGATCCCCTTATTGCTTTGCGTTTAACACTTAACATTATCATTACCTTTGACTTATTGGACAGTTGTTGGTTGTCTTTCTCTTATTAGAATGTCACTTGAGCAAGGGTTGGTAAATGGTTGGTTGGTCGGTTGGTTTTTTACTGTTAGAGCCTAGTAATAGAAAGCCATCTGAAGGATGTTTAATCAATAAATGAAGGCAGTTTAGGAACAGACATCATGAGAAGCTACCGCTTAAGGTGCTCACATTCCACATTTTGCTACTGGTGCAAGTCCTGGCTGTCCTGTGGTTCTAATCTTGCTTCCTGTTCATTTGTCTGGCCCAACAATGGGTGATAGCCCAAGTACTTGTGTCCTTGCCATCCATGGGGGCCTGGTTGGAGCTCCTGGCTCTTGGCTTCAGCCTGGCCCAACCCTAACTATTGCAGCCATTTGAGGAGAGAAATAGTAGATGGAGGATCTGTCTCTCTCTCTCTTTCTGGCTCTTATTCTGCCTTTCAAATAAAGAAGTTCAAGTCATGAAGTCCCTGAATAACCGACGGAAACCTCTTGCAGCTCTGTCACTTTCTCTCTTGCCTTGGCAGATCGGTGATGAAATTTTAGAGATCAACGGCGAGACCACCAAAAATATGAAGCATTCTCGGGCGATAGAACTGATTAAGAATGGTGGCCGCAGAGTTCGCCTGTTTCTGAAGCGGGGAGACGGCTCAGTACCAGAATATGGTGGGTCAAACTATGAAAACATTTCTTCCTTCCCTGGCATGACTCCATGAATCTGTCTCCAGAACAGCAGCGGGAAAGGCTTTTTTTGTTTCCCTCCCGTTCACCAGTGTCTTACCAGCCTCTTGCACCATGTGATTCTTTGCCTCGCTTGTTCTGAAATCTACACACATGTCATCCTTTTGCTTGCTTCCATGGACTGGGGCATGGCCTAAGACGAGATCTGTAGAGCCCCCTTTCTGATAATCAGAGAACATTTTGTCTAGTCCAACCAAGAGCCAAGGAATGTTGGTTTGAACTGTGCCAAACTGTTTCTCAGCTCCGATTGTTAGCACAAAATGACTATATACTCCTTTGATGAAGCAGGAGAGCAGGTTTCCTGAGTGATCTGTTGAGGCACAATTTAAAAAAAAAAGTTTTTCTTTGGGGTTCCTTGATGTCTTAAGAGGCGGGAAGTTCCGAAACAAGTTGGAGGGGCTCTGCCCACCTCCCTTCTGCTCTGTCTACAACAATTCTCCATCCCCCTCACTGGTCTCTTACACCCAGTCAGACCACCCAGGCCCACTCCTGTCAAACGAAAAACTGTTGATGCATTAGCCATATGTTCCTAAGTGATAAAGGATAAAATAAATTCCCAGTGCTCATCATGAGGGAAACATGTTACTATACCTTTCCTATGAGGAAAGCCGGGTTATACGTAGAGTTCTTCCTTTGTCATATCTTTAGACATGATTTGAGTAGACAGCAATGCGCTTTACCTAGCTTAGTATCGGATGGCAAAATATTGTATATTGTAATAAGCATGTCCTATTTATTTGAGATTCTTAAATTTACAACAAAAGGAAGCTATGCCCTAGTTGTAGGGCTTTTTTTTCCCAACCAAAGGTCTACAAAAGTTTCTATAGAAACTGTGATTGAATGGTCCCCATATACATTGGTCCCCTTTATTAGGGATTTACCTGCGATCTCCCTCTCAGCTGGAAGTCATTCCGCACAATTCCCAGCTGCTTTTTGGACTGACCCTTCATTCAGATGCAGCTCCCCAGATGTTGGACATTGGTACAGGTGCAACAATATGCAAGGGGCGTCAGGATAGGGGCTGTTGGTGAGTATCAGACCAGGCCCCGTTAGATACATTTGGCCAAGCCCAGGGGAAGTCTCTTGACAACATGATGCCATGGCTGTGCACTGTACTAAAGTTCTGACCTTGACCGTTCGGTGTATCGATACCACTGAAACTGTGTAACATTGTCTCCCTTTTCTGTCTCCCCCCTATGCTTCTGTCGGATGTAATGTTTCATTTGAGAGTCATCATCAGTAACCTGTGTACCTTCTCAAAACCTGTGTCTGTTGCACTGAGGATGAAAATCCAACACTAACAAATGTTCTTTGGGCTAAAAATAAAGATTGTTTAAATACACGGTTTTCCAAGAAGGGTCGAACCTGCCAGGGCTTGTGCCGCTGTAATGTCTCCATGCGTCATTTGGACTAAAAAAAAAAAAAACTCTCTAAATCTGTCGATTAGAGTCACAAATGGGTTATAATATGTTAAGTTCCAATATTTTTCTGACTTGATTGGAACCTGCTTCTCTGTGAGGCTATTTTTGTAATGAGTTTTTGTACTTAATTTAACTGCCGTGGTCATGGGGTGGGGGGAGGACTGGGGAGTGGGGAGGGACCTAGGGGACTTATTTCTTTGGTTGTTTATTGTTCAATGCTCTCCTATGCCAGCCTGTCATTGTTCCAGTTGTTCCAAAACAAAACAAAAAAGGATGCATCCACTGTCCGGGTCCCCGAGTCACCTGATGGCTGTGTAAAAATGTCACTGTCCCCAATCGCGGTCTCTGCAGCCTTATCTGAGTGTTGCCTTAGACTGTCTGACTGGACAAATAAACTCTTTGCCCTATGTTAACAAATGCAGATTTTTTTTTTGTTCTTTCCTCTTTGTTATAGGGAATCTAAATGTTCAACTTTTTTCTCTTTCTCTCTTTGTCTTTCTCTCTGACTGTTCTTGGTGCTGGGCCCTCCCTCTACAGCGATGATACCTCCTAATATCGCTGCATGTATGAGAAATGAAAAGCTCGGGGAGGCTTGCTTCTACCTTATGGGCCGTAATCAAACTACGGTTTGTAGCTCAATCAATACTAGGTGTTTCTGTGCTGTGGCCTAATTTCCTCATTGCTTCTGCTTAGCTCTTTTTGATATGTTTGGCAATTCATTCTGAGCACCCTGCGTTCTTGGACTTGTAAGTACACTGCTGACCCTGTGAAAGTCTTGCTGTGCCTTGTCTTAAAATTAGTTAGGAAAAGCCAAGGTTGGGATTAGGATAGTGGCAGAGGCGGCCTCCCTTCACCCAGATCCATGGGCTTTTGTTAAGAAGAACTTTTTTTGTTCTAGTCGCCTACCCAACACGTAAAAAGAATGAGCACTCATTGAGCTGGATGGGGCTTGCTAGAGCAGATAAGATTTCGTGGTGCTTCCGTTCTCACTTGGCCCACGACAGCCCATCGGCCCAGACCTGATTTTGCACACAGATTGTCCCTGGCTCTTAGCCCCACCCATGTATTTTATGTGCAACCTCTGTTTTGACACGATAGTAGAAGAATTGAATAACTGTAACAGAAGCCGTGATGTGAAAGCCCCATATGATGTACCATCTGGCCCTTGAGGAACCTCGCAGACCACTGCCCGAAGCTGGAGCCCCACTTTTCTGAAAAGGCTCTCTGGGTTCTGAGAAATCATTCATGAAACCAATTAATGGCTTACTCTTGACCCTGATGTCTCATGAGAGATCCTTGAAGAGCCCCCGGGATTGCTTTGTCTCTGTCACACTGCAGGCACACCACTTCCGGCCTGGAATGGTTTTTACAGGTCTGACTTTGAAGCTCCTGTTACAACAGAGCATCCCCGCTTCTCTGTAACTCACGACACCCCTTAAAACATTATTTTAAAACATAGTTTAGGCATCGTCATCAATAAGGACTGTCGTGGGCCACCTTGCTTGGGACCTCAGTGCTCAAAGAAGCAGCCAGTGACACCACACAGCCCCAGAGCTGGCTGCCTCAGAGATCTCACAGAAAAAGTATCTATAAACCGAGGTTTTTTTTTTTTCCTTTTTTTCCTGAGCCTCATGGAATTTCAAATGTGAACCGAACCACCTCTTCTCCTCCCTCTTATTTTAAAAGGTAGTGCACTTTAAAAAAAAGTTCCCTATTTATTAATAAATGCAGAAAGAAGAGCCAACATTTGAGGGACACACCGTAAGCAGCATAGTGGAGTGGCCCCTCGTGTGCCCATCACAGGCTCGCCAGTCATTGAGAGCTGGCCCCGGGTGTGCCTGGTTGCCTTGGTCACCACGTTGGGCCAGTTTTCTTTTTTTTTTTTTTTTAAGAGTAGCACACCCGGCAGCCAGTACAATGCAGACTCCAGGCCGACCTGCAGTCACTTTTCTTCCCTCCTCTCACCCAGAGAAGAGGTAGAAGCCTTTGTGTATCCCCAGAAAACATCCCCCTGCCCCTCCCCATCAAGATGCCAGAGTGTTTATGTATTTATTTATTTATTTTCAAGCAAATCAGAGCAGTCTTCGAAAAAAAGAATGTTTTCTGCCTGGGGTGGGGGGTATGCAGTAGAGCTGCGGGCAGGAGAGAAAGGGTCCAGGGTGGGGGAGGGGTGCAGAAAAGCAAAGGCTAATTCGTGGGGGGGGGGATGTCTTCATAGCTGCTAGACAGTGTGGGCTATGCGCGGCAAGAAAACAATCAGGGCTGATTTTATATGTTCTTTAAAGACCTCTGGAGAACTGCATAAAGTTCCCTCTCCAGTAACTCTAGCTAGTTGCAGTTGTCCATCCATTAACCGAGGGTTAGCGGCTTGGAGCCTGACTGCTTTAACAGTTGTTTGTTGGCTGTGACTAATGAGTCAGGCGGGGGTGGGCGTGGGGATGGGCGCTAAAGCTCCCGGTACCAAAACCGTGGCTCTCCTTTTTCTTGCTCGCAGACCCCAGCGGCGACCGGAACGGCGCCCCCTCCGGTGCACAAGGGGTTCCGCAAGTGAGGGCCGTGCCGCCCGACCGCCGGCTGCATCCGTCATTGGAGTCCAATTACCCACCCGATCTTCACAAATCATCACCCCATGGGGAAAAGCGGGCCCACGCGAGAGACGCAAAAGGCAGCAGAGAGTATAGCAGCAGACAGCCCAGCGAGCACCACACCTGGAACGGAACTTCTAGAAAACCCGATGGCGGCGGCGGCGGCGGAGGCAGCGGCACCTGCCGACCCAAGGACCGGGCCGCCGATGGCCGGAGAGATGCGCAGCCCGAGCGCGTGGCAGTGGGGGCAGCGGCGGCCAATGGACCCAAGAGGAGACCCCCGGAGAAGCGCAGGGAAGGCACCCGCAGCGCTGACAACACCCTGGAAAGGAGAGAAAAGCGCCGAGATGATGGGTCCCCGGAGCGCCGGCGGGAGCGCTCCCCGGCCCGCGGCAGGGACAGCTCGCCCAGCCGGCGGAGGAGGTCTCTGGAAAGGCTGTTGGACCAGAGGCGGTCTCCGGAACGCAGGAGGGCCAGCTCACCCGAGAGGAGAGCCAAGTCCACCGACCGGCGGCGGGCGCGCTCCCCGGAGCGCAGGCGGGAGCGCTCGCTGGACAGAAGGAGCAGAGAGGACAGAGGCGGCCTCCGCGAGAGGGAGGAGGTGAGCGGGAAGCAGGACGCGGGCAGGAGTCCCAGACATCCCCCGGAGCAGCGAAGGCGACCCTACAAAGAATGTAGCACCGACCTCAGTATCTGAGGCCCTGGGTCCCGTTCCAACCTTTACTGTGTCAAAGGTTCTACGAGGCAGGTCGCGCGCGAACCTGAAATCGGTGTCTTACCTAGGCAAGCTTCTAACACCTGATGATCCTGCAAAGAGAATGAACATTTTATGCATTTGAAATCTTCTAAGAAAAAAATATATATCTGAAAAGTGTGTGCCTGATGTATAATATTAAAAAGAAAGTATTTTTAAAATGCATACCTTTTTTTTTTTTGGAAATTATTTTGCCAAATGCTGGCCCAAAGGGATATAGAGTTTTGTTTCTACCTAAGCTGTAGAATGATCAAGAATCATTCCCTTTTGGGGAGCTGCCTTTTTCTCTCCTGGTGAAATGGGGCTGTTGGTCATTTTCTCTAAGGGAAATTAAGTGTCATTCATTTGATATCGACTGTTATGTAGTGTTGTAGCGCTATACTGTAGTCGGGAGTTTTGCTTCAAAGCAGAGAACAAAAGGGCAAAGATTTACTTGTGAGAGCTGAGGACCCTTGGGGATAGCATAGGGTTGCCCAGTGACCCTATATTGAAGCCAACAGTCTAAGGAGACTACTATTGCAAATGAAGGATATGTTTAGCTGGAAGACGCAGCTCAAGAGAATTTTATGTTCTTGGATTCTGGTTGGTTCAGAAAACAGTAGTTACACTTCCTGGTCCAGGAAGGCACAGGAGGAGAAGACAGGTTCCATGGCACCTCCACCAGCTGGTGAGATTTCACGTGGGGCAGGGCCAGTCATTTGGCCAGCTACTAGGAGCAGGCAGACACCTCTGTGTTGTCACATTGGAGGCTGTTTGTCGAATGGTGCGGGGGATAACATGCCCATAGGAATAAGCCCTGCTTTTAGCAGAAGATGTCTGTGGTTACCTTGTGTGAAAACTGGGGAGGAAGGAATGAGCGGTGGTGGAGGGGACATCTCTGTTGATACTGCAAGAAGTGAGGGTTGGGGGTGCGTTCTCAGAAAGGCCCATTGCACACTGAAACTGTAATCTAAGTGTCTGGGATTGATGGAATAGGAAGGAAGAACAGGATCCGAGTGTTCTAAAACACTCTGGGAAACATCTACCTTCAGGACCCTGTCTTTTGAGTCTTTGGGACAGCAGAACCAAAATGTTGATCATCCTTTCAAAACAGATCCATTCTTTTTCAATCTTGTGGGAGAGGTGATTGGGTCTGGGAGATGGCGATTGTGTCGGCCGTAGCCCCAGGGTGTGGTTAGAGCGGATTACTGCTTAGCTGAGCCAAAACGTTTGCTTGTACCTATTGGACCACTACAGCAAACCGCTGCTGTCAGTGCATCGTGTGTTTCTGTAGTACTGTTCTGCATTTTCCGTACAGACACAAAACTCTGCAAGTCAATCACTGTTGTTCCCATGGTACTGTAAAAAAAAAAAAGTGAATAAAAAGAGAAAGCCAGCCAATCATAGTGTGTACAGACTTTAAAATTGTAATTAATAGAGCCTGTTGAAAAAAAAAAAACAACTGTTGCCTTCTTTTCTTGTACAAAAGAGAATTTATGACAAAAAGTTTAGCTGTGAGGAATGTGATATGTGTTTATATTTCTGAATATGGAACAAATTGATTCACGGGGGTATATTTTAATGTAAACTAAATCAGGTATGTAAAGTTGTTTTAAACCAGGATACTGTATAAGTAATTCTCTAAAGCTTTAGTTGGTTTGAATATCATCACTTCCTCCACGGTGAGCCTGCTTGTGAATTATTAAGCACTTGTTTGCCATCTCTGTTCATTCATTTATTTCTTGCAGTGTGCGATGGACTTAATGCTGTTTCTGTATTGATGAAAAGCAGTATGGGGGCCAATCTTTTTATAAAACACTATGCATATATAAATATTACATTGTTCATAGCTTTATTTGACACATGGGTTTATACACAACATTAGAATGAGTAGATATAGCTGTGTGGCCATGTATAAAACAAGTTCCTTTCCAGGAACAGACACATTGTGGGTTCTGTGGCTTAAGAAGGAGGGAAAGGTGAGGAGGGCTGTTGTTATTGCAGTTTTCCATACAGAGCACATTAAGCTGTGGTAAGAAGGCTAAGGAAGAGTCCGACTGAATGATGACATTTCTTCCTCCTCAGTTCTCCTCAGAGCCAGATTTGAGATTTGATGCAGAAGGTTCCATTGGCTAGGATTTTTCTTACTGGTTCTTGCAAAATCCGTAATGTTAAATGACACCTGCTTTCAATTGTGGTCCAGAGTTTTAAATAAATGAAGTCAAGGTGAATTTCTGGAGTCCATCCTGAAGTGAACCTCATGATGTCTGTCTTCTTGTAAGAGATAATAGTTGACATTTTCAAAATCTTATGTGCTACCCATCTGGACTTGCCTGAGTCCATGGGCATTTGGTGTGATGGTTTCAGCTGAACTCCACGCACCAGATTTGCTTTGGAAATATTGTACTGTACAGGGACTATGCATTCAGCAGAAAGATAGGGGTTTCTTTGAACTACTGTAACCTTGAATTGAAAACCGATTCTTTTGAGCCTACTTTCCCTAATCCCCCACTTCATGTCAATGTCTTGATGAAAGGTGATGGATGAATATTTTGTGTGATTCAGTCCAACCATGTAGGAGTCCCCCTCCTTCCATTATACAATGGATGCCTGAAAGAATGTTGGGAGGAGGGCTCAACACCCTACTTGTATTTTTTAAGTTTCTTTTGTGAAAGATTTTGTAATGCATTTTTACTGTAAAAATACATGGAAATGTATGCATTCCATAACCACCACTGCTTCTGGCTTGCTCTCTTTCTTGTCTCTGTTGTCTCAGTTGTTATCAGGGTCAAGTACTCAGTTGAGTCAAAGCCAGTGAAAGACCATCCTGTTGAAAGAACTGTCCGACAGTGCTGTATTCCATAGGATATGGTCTGTAAGCTGATTTCTTCATCACACCTGGGGAGCTTGTGAAACATGCATCCTCTCAGGCCCCACTCCAGACCTACTGAATCAGCATCTGTGTTTAACAGGATCCTTAACTAGTTTGCATGCACGTGAAAAGTTTGACAGCACGTGAGAGCATAGCACCCTGCTAACAGAACAGCTCCTGCCAGACCAGGATTTTTGTCACATCTGGTGTGATTTTGGGCAGATTCCTTTACCTCTTTAAGCCTCCATTTATCAGTAATAGGGGCATACTCCTAGTGTCGACAAGAATGAGTGCATAGCACCATTACATCTCTGGGACTTAAGAGTCCTCAGTAAATGACACTAAAAAAAATTTAATTGGTGATTTCCTGCACAGCAATGAATGTCCTACTCTTTCTATTATGGTTTATTTTCCTATTGAAAATGAAGAAAAATATTTCCCTATAAAAATGAGGAAGAAATCCTTTTGTGTTCAATCATTAAGTTAATGAATACTATGTTTCTTTCTATATGACAAACATAATGATTGTAGCATGGTTTTAAAAGATGAGACCAAAAAATTGTAAGAGTTGGAAGTAGAGATGTATGTGGAGTTAGGCATGCTACAAACTCATTAAACAAAATTGTTAAGTCATAGTAGGGGACTAAAGAGACATGTAGATTGATTCTGTAGTCTTGAATAACTTTCCAATTTCCTTTTCCCAGTTTTTGCAGTATGACTCAGGGACTGAAGTTTTCCTACCAAACCCAAACCTCTGGCCACTCAAAAGGACACGGTGTTTAATCTTTGCTTGATTTTGTCATCAACATGGTAATTATGGACCCTGCTCACTCCCTAGTAAGTCTTTTGTTAAAAAGTAGTATCTGGTAATAGTCCTCGGCTTCACCAATAATTGAGCCTGATTGCAAAGCCCTCATAGCATACAGGTTCTTTGCCATAAAGGGCCACAATAAAACGATGTGCTGGGCCTCCATTATAGCTGGTGAGATGCTTCTTCTGGTTGGCGATCTGAGATCACCTTTGATGGTTTGCCTTCATTTGAGCAGCCCTGTCGGATTCCTCTTGGTGTTTTCATCATGAGGCAACACCATCAGCAATCCAGGTGTTCAGCACAATATTATCTGAATGCTTTTTAAAAAAATTGATGCATAATGTGCATATTTAATGGGGTATAGTGTGATTAAAGTGATTCATGTATACGTTGTTTAATGATCAATTCAGGTAATTACCATTTCTCCCCTCCTTAAAAATTTACCAGGTCTTTATGTTGGAAAGCTATAATTCCTCTTTTAATTATTCATAAAATCTATAATAAAATGACCTATTGCTGCCTTATTGTGCTATAGGAAATTTGGGGTCATTCATCATTACCAGTTTGTTTAAGAGAAAATGACAAGACTGAATATTTTTCCAACCCAAAACGCAGTGATTCGGGATTTTTTTTAGGCTAGGCTTTGCGTGTGGCGTTTTTCACCAGTTTCCCCACAGTGAGGTCTTTCTGCACTGCTGTCATTGTAATGGCCACGAGAACTGTGGATTTACTTCAGCAGTGTAGACATTGTTTGCTGGGTCCAAAGCACAAGGTCTCTTTGAAAGCAATGGGTTTAGAAAAAGTGCTATTAATATATTTGCATTATACAGTAAATATTCAAGCATTCACTTGCTACCTTTTACTGTATTACTTTTCCACCTAATGGAAAAGTATTGGCATGTCCTTGGAGAAAGGCAACGAAAGCAAAGTTTACACAGTCTGCAACTCTTAATTATCACACAATTAAGCAATGTCCTAAACATATGAGGGGACTTTCAAAGATTCATGGAAAATGCACACTGGGGAAAATGATTTCACAAGTTTGTGCACCAAAATAAATTTAACCTTTAATTCCATTTTTCCTAAGCTTTTTAATGTTTATTCCTCAATCAATAAATCCTCTTTGATAAGTTCATAAAGTTCAATAGGTAAGACTTGTCACCTTGTTACCTCATTCTCTGAATAGGATCTTTGAAGACTGACTGTGCCAGGCACATGGGTGGGCTGGAACAGCTGCTACGTGCTCCAGAGCTGGAGAAGACAAACACATGTTAAAACACTTTGCCAATGTGCTCTGTTATTAATAGGGGATTTAGCGGCAGAGTTACAAAACAGAGGGGGGAGGAAGAGACAGAAATCTTCCATGCACTAGTTCACCCCTCAGATGACTGCAACAGCCAGGGTTGAGCCAGTCCAAAACTGGGAGGCAAGAACTTCTTCTGGGTCTCCCACATGGTGGAGGGACTCAAGCACTTGGACCATTTTCCACTGCTTTCACAGATGGAAGTGGAGCAGCCAGGACTCTAATTGGTGTCCATATGGAAAACTGGAGAGGGGCCACATCTTTGCCTGCTGCATCACAGCAGCCCGCACTCTCAGTTTTCAAGCTCCATCTTACTGTCCACCCCCCGCCTTTTTTTTTAAAAATATTTTATTATTTTTGTAAAGATTTATTTATTTTTATTACAAAGTCAGACATACAGAGAGGAGGAGAGACAGAGAGGAAGATCTTCCGTCCGATGGTTCACTCCCCAAGTGAGCGCAACAGCCGATGCTGCGCCTATCCGAAGCCAGGAACCAGGAACTTCTTCCAGGTCTCCCACACGGGTGCAGGGTCCCAAAGCTTTGGGCCGTCCTCGACTGCTTTCCCAGGCCACAAGCAGGGAGCTGGATGGGAAGTGGAGCTGCTGGGCTTAGAGCCGGTGCCCATATGGGATCCTGGTATTCAAGGCAAGGACTTTAGCCACTAGGCCACGCCGCCAACCGCCCCCCTCTTTTTTTTTTTCCTTCCCAGATCTCGGTTTCAACCCTTAAAATCTTATTTTCAATTATTTTAGGTTGATGACATCTTTAAGTACAGAGCCTATTTAAGAAGCATCCACTTTTTGTCAGGCATTCCCAACATTTTTGGGCTAAGAGAGGAGTGTTGAAAAGCAGTGTTTATTGATACTATTCTGGTTATTTTACAAAACCAATGCACATTGTAAAAAATATTCAAACACTTCAGGAGAAATTATTTTGCACTTTTCACTTCTCATCCTCACCCCATAGAATAACTACTATAACAACTGGATTTGTGACGTTTTTAACAATTTATTCTCAGGGCCCAGCACTATAGCATAGTGGTTAAAGTCCTTGCCTTGAACATGCCGGGGTCCCATATAGGCTCTGGTTCTAATCCCGGCAGCCCCGCTTCCCATCCAGCTCCCTGCCTGTGGCCCGGGAAAGCAGTTGAGGACGGCCCAAGAACTTGGGATCCTGCACCTCCACGGGAGACTTGGAAGAAGCTCCGGGCTCCTGGCTTCGGATAGGCTCAGCTCCAGCCATTATGGTCACTTGGGGAGTGAACCATCAGACGGAAGATCTTCCTCTCTGTCTCTCCTCTTTGTATATCTGCCTTTTCAATAAAAATAAATAAATCTTAAAAACAATTTATTCACAATTAAGGAACTGCTGGGTGTGGTCCCTGATGGTTCTGATTGTGTATGTGGGGGGTGTGTGTGGGGGGGTGGTAGTACGCATGTCCACTTCAGAAATGTTATGGAAAGTGGAACTAAAGTTTCTTTGGGTACAAAACTTTTTGAAACCCATGCAGTTTTCTCACACTGAAGCAGTGAGAGAGCTGCTGCGGTAATTCCTCAGTGAAGGCAGAGTCCTTACAAGGAGCCCCTTTGCCAGTCATGCTGCCTGCCTGCGGGCTCTGTGGCAGCGTGTGCCCTGGGGAGAGACTTTTCCAAACCATTCAGTCCCACCTCCTGCTTTATTCAATTTCTTCTCAGATCTCACCCCTCGGGGAATCCTACTTCCACCTGATCCAAAGTTGGAACTTGATTCTGCTCTGCTCTGTGCTGCTCTGTGACAGCAGCTCTGCCGTGTGGCCTGTGTGCTAGCCTGCTATTTCTTCAGGCAGCCATCTGTCTCCCGTCTCTGGAATCACAGCCAGTGTGATGGACAGAATCTATGCAGTCATACACGGTCCCACCCTTCACAGGGCCCCTGGCTTAGTTTTATACTGTGCCGTGAGATCTTCAATTTATAACGATTTTAAAAACAAAACAAACAAACAAAAAAATCCCAAGAAGTTCACCTTTTCTATCTGCACTGTGCAGAGTGTGCAGCTGTCTTTGCCTAGAAGGTGAGCCTCAGGAGGCCAAGGCTATTTGTCCCGAACTCTGATGAATTTCAAGTTTCTGGAATGCTGCCTGGGACTGTTGGTACTGGGGAATTAGAAGTACTTGGCTCTCTCTCTCTGCTAGCTGCGTGTTCTGCAGTTGGCTGCACTCTATTTAATTGATCCCCTATGGACCTGCGGTTGCTTGCTACAAAAACATCAATAAACAACATTACATTTGAAACTTTGGATTTGGACGATTTGGATTAAGTACTTCTATTTGAATGGTTTGGATTAAGTATTTCTGAAGGGATCAACTGTGACTCCTAGATCTTTCTTAGTCCTGGTTAACATTGATATTGCTGTGAGTTTGCCCGCTTTCATTGGGAACAACTGTTCCTAGTGAAGTACTTGCCGGCTGTGGGTGGGGCCTATTTTCCGTCTGATGAAAGTCACCAACACCTGTGGCTCAAAGCCTGGCTGCACGCGGCCGTCCGCTGGGGCGCGCACAACTCCCGCCGTCCGTGGCGCACTCCGCGCTCTCGCGTGATTGGTCCGAGCCTCGCCCGGCTTTCTACCAGGGCCCAGGTGAGCCTCCTCACAGCCAACGTATTTCCCAACAGCTTTAACCTGGTAGGTTGAGCAGAACCGAGCGGAACAGCTTCCCTGCCTTTTCTTCATAGAGTGTCTAGTCTGGCAACGGCACGAAGGAAAC